GCACCAATCTCTTAGTTTACTTAGAATGGCCTGGGCACCTTGGTTCCCAAAGGAGCAACGCCTAGGCTCCAATGTCACGACTTCTTGGCACAAAGTGGGTGGCACCTAAGTGTAACCTTCTTGGTTTGTCAGGTGAGGGACTGGCTCCTAGGAGCCCATGGGTCCGACGCTTAGGGGCCAATCCTCCATTTTGCTTCTTTGCTCCAAGTCTTCTCCATATTGCTCCACTTCCAACACTTGTTGTACCCACAAGTAAAACATGAAAATTCCTTTCTTTAAAGTGCAATTTCATTCATAAAAAAATGAAAAACATAAAGGAATTTAATCTTTCTTTTCTACACATCAGTGGGCCTAGTTGAAGTATCAAGACATGACACATATTTGAAATAAATTGTTACAAATTTCACACAAGTACTTGGTGTGAAGGAAAGTAGACTTGTAATTGTGGTGTGTATGTTAGAGGAAACACACAGACATATAACGAGATTAGTTATTAAGACACATTAAATGAAATAGTTGAGTTGCAAATTATAGGCTATGTTGAACGCAATATCTACATGTTCAACTATGATTGATTTGATCTTATTCGGGGAACACAAACCCTAGATGCACATGATATTACTGAAGTTAAAATGAATAGAAAATATGTAAAATATGACCCATTTATTCTGGGACTTTAGGCCAGTTAGGTTTATTAAATTCAATATCCTAGTCAAGCAAGGGATAAACATGATTGGGCTATTTTATTGAGGAATGGATCATGAAAAATTATTGAAATGCATAATATGATCGAACATATTTACCAAGAGCCAGTAATGTATGATTTTTATATTCAGCTTAGCTCCTTGCATAAGGAGTTATACCTAGAGGATGCCAAAGGGCTTCATGAAGAAGCCCATACAAATGAAAATGATGATGAGGTTGTGGAAGAATCATCGAAAGAAACTGAATAAATTGTATACTTAGATGTTTAGTTTCTACACCTTCTTTCATGGTTACGACATGTTTTGTGTTGGCATTTTGTATTGTTCTCATTTTAATTTTGTATTTTATATTACATACCAATCCTAGTAAATATTTTTTTTTCCTTTTGCAAATGATAGGTGTTTCACCCCCAGAGAGAACCAACATTTAGGGGACTTTGGGGAACACATATTGAAAGTTGAAGAAGCTCATCATTAGCGATAAGTACGGTAGTTGTGCAACCACTTCGATGACCACTTTTGTTGCCCCTTCTTTTGCACTAGGTCCCTCATAAGAGCCTCATCCCACTCCTACAGCATATTTCCACCCAGAGTCCTTGTTCGATGAGCCAAACATCTCTACTCTAACACCTAAGGTGGCTGCCCCACCAACAGAGTCCATATCGTATCGGAGGGTGACTCATAAGTCAAATATATTTTGTACACTGAAGAAGTTTTAAATTTCATTACATTTTATAATGTAACTAATGTTTCATTTGTAGGTTCTACCCTTCTAAGCCGTCTGTGATGAGGATCACAGAGATCATCCGTAGTAGGTATGATAAACCATTTCTTACATGGAAGCAGATCCTAATTGCGACTACAGACTTTGAGATATGATATGTTAATTTAAAATTGAATTCTAATTTCTATCTTTTAATTCTAATCCAACTTATATAATTTCTAATTTGCACAGGTCTTTTCACTAGTCGTTGGAACATCACCAGTAGATCAATACAATATGTGAGATTCATGTTAGGCATAGGCTCGAGGACAAGTTTACTACAATGCAGAAGAAAGGCCAGAGGCCCTCGTGGGTTGGTGAGGAAGTTTGGGCTTAGTTGAATTGAGCATGGGCGTCTCCAAAATACTAGATCAAGAGGCAGACAACAGAAACAAACGATAGAGGAAGCCAAAGGGGTCACACTACACATTGGAGGTTCGATCACCCACATAGAGCCATACCAGAGATTTGTATGATCATCTCAAAACTCATAAGCTTATAAATTAATGTAATTAAGTGACTCTTATATTATATGATCATGTATATAAGTCAAGGAGCTTGAATAAGAGCCATCCACTGTAGAGTTACATTTCCTCACATATCCGTGTGCGGACACACATCAACGGGTATCCGAGCACTCTAGACATGTCAATGTAATTTTAAAAAAGTATTTTTCTATTATTGTGGGGCTATTAATATGACAATTAATATTTAATTGCAAATTAATGTTTAAATTTTGTCATGTAGGAGGAGTACGATCAGCTTCGGGAGAGATAGAGGGAGATGACCAGCCAGCTATCATTGTCCACCAACAGCTACGGTAGGTAGTTTACTACTGTTCAGTCTGATTTTGAGTTGTGGATGACGGTGACGGAGAAGAAGAAGGGAAGAGTGTATGACCTATGAGCAAAGAGGATAACATTTGAGGTCAAGCTCTCCTGTGCATCTGTGGGTAGCCCCAACAGCTCATTATAGGCTTAGCATGAAGAGCTTGCTAGGCATGTGATGATGATGAATGAAGAGCTTTGACATGTGCGAACAGGCCAATAGATTGTTGTAGATAGTTTGGCATGTTAGACGAAGAGTCTTGATCCCTGAAGCAAGCGCCATATGAGTGCGGCCGAGGAGGAGGGGGAGCAGGATGATGTTAGTAAGGGTGTAAATGAGCCGAACACGAGCGAACCAAACTCAGCTCGTGTTCGGCTCATTTATATTTCTCAAAAAGTGTGTTCAAAGTGTGTTCATGTTCGGTTCGTTTGCTTAACGAGTCAAACACGAGTTGTTCACGAACAAAGAGTCTTTTGAACAACCCTAATCATATCGTCATAAAATAATAAGAGTTTGAACAAGATTTAAAATTTATTCATGAGATTTTTGGGATTGGACAAGTTTTAAATCAGTATTTGAATCTAATTTAATAATTTTTATTCTATTTTCTTAATCAATATGTAGCCTTTTTAAAATACTTTGTAGCCCTGTAGTCAATTAGATTTTTTTAAAATACTACTTATACATATAAACTTGATGAATAGTATTTAGATCCAAAATAAGCCGAACATTAACGAACACATATTTGTTTGTTCGTTAACTTATCGAACAAAATTAACGAGCCGAACACGAGCTGTTCGTGAACAACGAGCCGTTTTGATAGCCCTAGATGTTAGTGAGGAAAATTAGGATTTTATTTTCTGTTTGATTTGTTCCCTCGACATAGGGGTTGATTGTATATATTTTTTTATTTTCACTTAATCAAGCCTTGATTCTCTTATGTTGAGAACTTTTAACAGTATAATCTATTTATATTTAATCCAATTTGGTATATGAAATTATGTTGGAGATTTCTTATCTTCTCACGTTGCTTGTGGTTGTTATTTGTAGGTGTGTGAAAATTTGATCATTTTACTCTTTTTTTTGTTTCATACAGGCTGTGTCGGAATATTTCGATGCTAAAATCTAAATCCATCAATCAATACATACCGACATTAAAACAATGCAATAGGGTCGAAGCAGGGTGATACTAATTTGTGTCAACCTATTTTGACACACATGTGTCATTACTCTAGCGTGACCGATAATTGCAATGTAAATTTTTAGTGATAGATTTTGGCTACGTTATCTGACAAAAAATTCAATGCAAAAAAAATTAGCGATACCTATTTTAACATCAAATTTTTTTACTATGCTAATCAAGATTAGCATCAAAATTCTCCAACACCATTCAAACAATTTCCCGTACTGAAAGGATATAAAGAGATTTATTATTATATTTCTGCATTTTCTAGCTAGTGTTTCCATAATTTTGGTTCTTTTTAGTTCAAAATTAAGAATAAATCTTCTATTTTCTTGATGATCATTTTGAAAATGGTTGCATCAATTATAAAATGTATTAATTTTCATATTACCAAGGAGGGTAAATTTCTAGCTACTTTGGTTGTTCGAAGTGTTTGGAGTTTTACATGATGTCTATTGTGCAGCATGTCCCAATATCTCTACAGATTTGTTTGTTCATATTTTGAGTTTTTCACTAGCAGTGATGTGGTTCTTTTTCACACTTGCAGATAATAAACTTGGTTTTTGAGAATTACAAATGCTATACTTTGGTTTTAAAACTTTTGTTTGCAACTTTGTTTTTAATATTCTACTTGCAAAAACTTTTGGCCTTTTTAGAACTGTGATGATATCCAAGAATATGGGGAAGCTCAACCAATTAGTCATTGTTCTTTGCTTTTTGAAGTCCCATGTAGTTATGTTCTTTATGGTATTTAATGGAGAGCTCTGAAGTTGATTGGACTTATTGGAATCAATTATATTTTTTTTTGCTAAATTTAACTTTTGTATTATGACAAGTCTTGGGCCATATTATGAACACTGGATTATGGGATGATCCACTTTTCTTCTCTTTGCTGCTAGGTTGTATGTAGACTTCTTAGGCGCTCGGTCATTAGATAATTCTGGATAGAAGTTTTTTTTTTGTCATCGTTGGGGCTTAATCTGAGCTCATTTTCTTTGCTTCATTTCTATTCTCTTGTTTTACTTTTTATTTATAGGTCATTCTTTTTATCGTATTTTATTTTTAGTCTCTATGAAATATTATGTAATTATCTTTATATATATATATATATATATATCG